TCTCAAAGGACACAAAGGATCTGTGACTGGCTTAGCTTTTGATCCCCACAGTGAATACTTGGCTTCTATTGATTCAACTGGGACTGTAATATACTGGGAACTTCAATCTGGAACCACATTGCATACCCTTAAAGGGATAGCTCCTAACTCTGGTTTCGACCGTTCCATCATGAATGTACTCAGCTGGAGTCCTGATGGAAACAAATTAGCTGTGCCGGGGTTGAGAAACGATGTGGTGGTGTACGATAGAGACACAGCTGAGACGCTGTTTTCATTGAGAGGTGACCACACACAGCCTATTTGTTTCTTGGCTTGGTCACCTAATGGAAAATACATGGCCACTTCTGGTTTGGATATGCAGGTTCTCATCTGGGATGTCGATCAGAAACAGGACATTGACAGGCATAAGTTTGATGAGAGAATATGCTGCTTGGCGTGGAAGCCAATTGGCAACGCACTGGCTGTTATTGATTGTACGGGCAAGTATGGTGTGTGGGAATCGGTGACTCCTTCATCAATGAAGTCTCCCACTGAAGATGTTCCCAATCAAAAATTGAATAACAGCAATGGTCTGCTTTTGTTTGACGAAGAGGAGGGTGAGGAGCTTAGCACTTCTGGTAGTTTAAGTGATCTTGGTGAAGATAGCCATGGGGAATCTGAACCACCTAGCAGGAAGAGACTACACAAGCACTCTGCATATGACAATGATTTAGAAGAGGACGGTTTTGATGACTTGAGCTTGCTCCCAAAAGTTGAGTCCCATAAAAAAGCACGCCGTAAACATAGTGAAAGCGTTGATAACGGGAAAGAGGGAGTAAGCAGCAAATTGACATCTGTTAGACCAAAAATGCAGGGGTCCTTCCAGCCAGGCGCCACTCCTTTGCAGCCTGGGAAAAGGCGCTTTTTGTGCTATAACATGCTTGGAGCTATAACTACAATTGAACATGACGGCTTCTCCCATATTGAGGTAAACTATGCCTTAAGTTGACCAAACCCTCTCCCTCTCCCTTATCCTCTTCCTTTTCCTCTCTCCACCCTCCACATACAGACTTCAAGATAGAATTGTTTTTGTTAGCCAGGAGTGCCTTTATATCATACTGACATTTTAGTGTGTCTTGGATGCAGATTGATTTTCATGATACAAGCCGAGGTCCAAGAGTTCCATCAATGAACGACCATTTCGGTTTTACAATGGCTTCACTAAATGAGAATGGAAGTGTTTTTGCAAATCCCTCCAAGGGTGAAAAAAACATGAGTACTCTCATGTATCGGCCATTTAGGAGCTGGGCAAATAATAGTGAGGTTAAATCGTTGCCTTTTAAAATTTATGCATTCATGCTATATGGTGTGGTGATTTATACATGCACACTCTAAATATCGTAACTTCCTATCCATGATGAATACGAGAACTTTAGTATATGCTGACTTTGATGTGTGATGCAAACCCAGTGGTCTATGCGATTGGAAGGGGAAGAAGTGAAGGTTGTGGCACTTGGTACAGCTTGGGTAGCAGCAATTACGAGTCTTAACTTCCTCCGCATTTTCACTGATGGTGGTTTGCAGGCATGTTGACTTCAGTTATTTTTAGTTTTGGAGCAATCTGATTTTAATGGATATGATTCTTGCCTTCCTGAATACATTCTTAAATGTAAATTAGTTCATCAATCACTTTTGATTTTAAGTTACTCTAAATGGTTGATGATATTGAGGTTAGTTTCTGGAGATGTCTGTTTTTCTGAAAGCATTTCATTGCAGAGACATGTTCTCTCCCTTGATGGACCTGTGGTGACTGCATCAGGCTTCATGGATGAGCTTGCTATTGTCACTCATGCTTCTGAATGTCTTCCCTCAGATGAGCAGGTCTGACTTTCAAGTGATTGCCCATATTATATTCGGGTGCTGATATGTCCTATTCATCTTTTTTTAACTTAAGAAATGTGGATTTATAAAATTCGAACACTATAAGTCCAGGAGTGCGTGTTGATACCATTGACATAAGTTCTAATAAAATCGATCAATTTTCCTCTTGTTAAAGAGCTGTCGCCCACTCACTCCAGTAGGAAGATACATAAGTGCTGGCTGATGGTTTGCACTTGTTATCTCATACTATTTTATGTGCTGAAATGAATTACTTTTTCTTCTGAACATGCAGATGCTTGAATATAGAGTACTTAACATAACTAATGGGAGCCAGCCTCTTAGAGGACGTCTGCCTTTGACTCCTGGTTCACATCTAACATGGTTTGGGTTTAGTGAAGAAGGGCAATTAAGCTCCTATGATTCCAAGGTACTTTCACTCTATTTTAAAGTAATTCTATTACTATGAGTTCAACTGCTCTTGAAATTGGATATGAAGTCTCTATCATTTTATTTGATAGGGTGTGCTCAGAGTTTTTACAAGCCAATATGGTGGCAGTTGGCTCCCTCTCTTCAGGTTCAAGATTCCTCTGATAAAGAACATATATAGAATGCTTCTCTAAATAAAAAACTTCTGATATTGGATTCTGTCACTTGATTTATAACAAAAATATATTATGCAGTGCTAGTAAAGAGAAGTCAGATGAAAATTATTGGGTGGTTGGGTTGAATGCAAGCAAATTGTTTTGTATAGTTTGCAAAAGTCCAGACCTATACCCGCAGGTAGGGATGGCTCACCACCTCCTTCCTCTCAAAATTTTCCTTTGTAAATCATTTCTTGACCATCCTACTTTTTCAGGTGATACCCAAACCAGTCCTCACTCCGCTAAACTTTTCATTTCCTCTAGCATCCTCCGATCTAGGAGCAGATGCTCTTGAAAATGAGTTTATGCTGAACAACATGCACCTTGTACAGGTGCGTCCTTTCATCCTCACCTCCTAGAGTTTATTGTCTGTCGTGCAAACTTTTCATATTTTTAGCTTGTTCTACGTCCTGCTCTATGCCTGTTCTGCTTACTGCTGGTCAATGGCTGAGATGATCACATGAATGTAACTTTACAGGTTCAAAAGCAAATAGAAGTGGCTGGTGCTGGTTTGGACACCACTTCACTTGACGATGAAGCTTTCAATACAGAAACAGCTCAAGATAGATGTATCTTAAAGCTTATTGCATCCTGCTGCAATGGTGAGTCTTTTACAGTCAATGCAACATCAATTTTATAATCTTGATTCAACAAAATGAAAAATGTTGAGAGTATTGAAATGGTTGCTTACGGTGGTTATTTCAGGAGATAAGCTTGTGAGAGCCACTGAACTTGTGAAGCTTCTATCCCTGGAAAAATCAGTAAGGGGTGCAATTAAGCTTGTTACTGTTCTGAAGCTCCCTAACTTGGCTGAAAGGTTCAATAACATACTGGAGGTAAGGTTCCAATATCGAACTATGAGTGTGCATATCTCCACTTAGAGTTAGCCACATTGGAAACCAATCTGTTTCCATTTTCATCCTGGAGTTTCTTATGATCTCTTATAAATTCTAACAGGAAAGGTTGCTCAATGAAAGTAAAAGAGCCTTGGAAACCACTTTCCCTAACTCAAACTGCAATGCATCCTTGATCACGAATGACATTGCACCCAGCAAGACAATTTTCTCCACCAAGCAGAGTAAGTTGCCAGGGAATGACATTCCATTATCATCATCAAAACTGTCGGCTCCCATATTTACAAAGAAAGCCAAAACACAAGAAGCTAAGGTTGGGATAGAGAAAACAGAAGAAAAACAACCTGCAATGGCGGCTGATCTTGGGAAGGTAAAAACGACAGAGGGGAAAAATGGTGCAAAGGTGAACAATGCAGGAGACATGAAGAGGGTAGGGGAAACGTCTCAGGCACAATCACCTGCCCCATCAAATGATCAAGAGAAAGTGAAGAAGGCAGAAGTAACTCGACGAGCATCTAATCCATTCATGAAGAAATTGATCAAGTAAGGTAAGGTCCTCTCCAATTCACTAATTAATTACAAGGAGTTTGAATGCATAGCTTAGAGATGAGATTTGCTAATACCATCTGGGATTAACATTCAAGTAATACGACCCAGACAAGAATTTGTCTCAATTTTTTCTATCTAGAGTCGCATCGCATGTATTAAGGATGCGTCAAATCATAAGTGTGTGCTATGTAATTATGTAAACATCAGAGCCTCTATTTCTTCATTTTTATTTTATTTTATTTTATTATTTTTAATAATAAAAATAGATCACTTTTTTTTTCTTTTTTTTTCGGAAGTGAGGTCATTTTCTTAAAGTACTATATATTTGGGACTCTCTGAAAAATTGTGACCTCACCTCACAAACACGTTTCATTTAATGTAAGAATTATTGGGCCTAAAACATGTTGTGGGCTCAGAATGGGCCACCTAAAACGATCATGAACCTACCAAGAAGCAGATCAAATGTGGCCATGGTTGACCAAAAGAAAAAAATATGTGGTCATGGTTTCCTTTCTTCGTTAGGAAAGAAAGGAGGTCCAAATAATACCCCCAAAAAAACTAAAAACAAGGCCGAGGTCGCCAAAAACTGGTTTCCTATTCTCTAAAGATTAGAAATTGTTAAGTTTGCAATTGATTTATTTTCAACATTACAATAAATCAGCAATAAATTAAAATTTTATTCTCTAAAGATTAGAATAAGTTAAAATTTTATTTTCAGTCTAATGTTAGATTGTTATAAATACCCTTATGTAATTGATGATGGAGTTGAAATTGGAGATATTGAGTAAAGTAGAAAATAGTTGGAGTTCAAAGTTAGCAGGTTATTATTGTAACTCAGCAATAAATAAATTCATGTTAATATCTTATATGCGAATTCAGTGAGTGACATACAGCCAAACACTTCTCCCTGTCGTTCGGGATCGGGAGGGACACGAGAGACGTGAAAATCCAAACCACACACGTCTATTTTGCAAAAAAAGAGGGGTTTAGCCGTAATTTCACTGTTGCTACATTACAAACTTTAAAACCCTCAAAATTTTGGTTGATTCACAATTCAAAGCAAACCAGAACCGAACCCGAAGAAAATTACACGTCAATGGCAGAGGTCACCTTCCTTCACCTCCACGACCCAGACGACGAACCTCGCCAATCCTTAACCCTGGACCCCCTCCCCAACTGGGCCCACCACGACTTCGACGTCTACTCCTCCGATCTCGAATTCCCGCCCTCCGATCGCTCCCTCCGCGCCCACATCCTCACCGTCCACGAAGACGAAGACGAAGACGAAGACTGCGACGACCTCTTCTCCCAATACCAATCTACCATCCACGTCATTCGGAACAACGAAGTCTCGGAGCCCAGTTCCATTTCCAACCTGGAGGACCGCGAGAACCAGGTCAATTTCGTCATGGATCTCTTCCAGCAACGCGTCGAGCAGTCTCAGGTAACCGTTCGTTCCGTTTCGGTTTCTGAAGCTCTTAACGATGATTTCAGTTTTGGGGTTATTGAGGGGAATTGCGATTGCGATTGCGATGTGGGTATGGGTGGTTTGGACCTCGATTTAAGTTTAGGGTTAGGGTCAGGCTTAGATTCTAGGCATTGTTTGGATGGTGATGGTATTGATGATCCTGACGAGGACGATTTCTTCGTGGGAAGGAGGGTTTCTGGGTCTGAATCTGGTGAGGCAACGTCTAATTTAAGTAGGGCTGAAGCTTTTGAGAATTGCGTGCGGCTCGTTGGATTTGGGTCCGATTCAGATGAGGAGGATGAGAATGGGGTTATTGGGATTGATTTGAATTCTGTGGATGAGCATAGTGCGTATCATCTTCCGGATGACTGTGATGATGATACAAGCATCCCACTTTGTTGGGATTCGCTTCTTTTGGAAGACCACAGGGAAAATAACGAAGATTTCGAGTGGGAAGAAGTTGACAGCGGCGGTGAGGAGCGAGAGGTCTTCAGCATGTTTATTGATCCCGATCATACTGAATCAGGATCGGTCTCAGTTTCAGTTTCGACAATAATTGCTCCTGAAGAGGAAGTGAGTGTGGAGAGAATTGAACCTTTGGAGAGTTTAGAATGGGAAGTTCTGTTGAATGTATCTACACTGCAGAGTATGATTTGTTGTTTGGGCAATTCTCTGAGAATGAGAATGCATCAACGGGGAGGCCTCCGGCTGCCAACGCTGTTGTTGAAAATCTTCCCTCAGTGGTTTTGACTCAGGAGGATGTGGACAACAGTAATGCACTTTGCGCTGTTTGTAAGGATGACATGAATATTGGGGAACAAGCAAAGCAGCTGCCTTGTGCACATAGGTACCATGGTGATTGCATTGTCCCATGGCTGCGCATCAGAAATACATGTCCTGTTTGTCGACATGAATTACCTACTGATGATGCTGCGTATGAGGGCAGAAGGACCCCAACTCATTCTGTTGAGGGCAGAAGGACCCAAGCGCATCCTCTTGGCTTTGATTATGATGAGGTATTTTTTTGAAAGTCAGCTTTAGGTTTTTGAAAATGTAGATATCGCTGTGGCGAAGTGTTTACCTCTTGTATTTGGTTAAAAGATGGAGGATAAGATGATTCAGGATGCTTTGTTTGTTTTGATGAGAGTATAAGAATGTTTTATGGCTGGATTATCATGTTAATTATTTCTGATCATTGTTAACATTTTTTATGGGATTTCCTCCCCTATGATGGTCAGGTCAAGCATATAATGTAATAATATGTTTCATTTTTTGTGTGCTCTTTCATCCTTGAGATTTTGGAGGCCTAAACTACCCATCTGGACATGTTTTTTCTTTGATAGGAAACGGAAAAAGTAATTCCATCAGTAGAAAAAGCAAAAGCATATTTGCGTTAAACTCATGAAACAGCTGCATCTCACTCAAAAAGAAAAAGGAGAAAAAAAAGAAGAACAAGTTAGAAAGAACCCCCATCCGTTGAAATCAAATTATTGGGTAAAATTAGAATTCGAATGACTGTATGCTACTAAATTATAGAGATTTTATCCACTACCTTCCCTGTATATTTTCTCAGGGTGGCAATTTGGGAAAAAGAAAAGAAGCATTAAAACACAACAATTGGTGCTTGCTTATGCAGACTGAGCATTTGTTAATGATAGTCAATATATTGGATTAAGTGTTCAACCACAAAATCAAATAAAATTTATGTTTCTTCTGTAACCAATTTAGCAAAAGTAAGCTGATGATGCCCATCATTTGTACCTTGTTTTTTTCTTTTTTCTGCCGGAAACGTTTGTTTGTGTCCTATTAATAACTTTCACGCATTTCTGCATCAAAACTCATGAAAGAAATATTTTACAACTTCCTTTGTCCTTAAACTAGGTTGCTTATTTTTGTACATAGAGATAGAGGCATAGCTTTGCATCCTTAAATGTCATGGAAAAGACATTTAATCACTTAGAATTCATTAAAGTAAATGTGTAAGCTTCTTAATCAAGAGAATTTATTGGTATTTATCACCTACATTAATCCTAGAAGCAACCAAAAAAAGCTTAAGTAGGAGTTTAAGTCATATTTTCACTTTTGTATGATCCATCCATACAACAACACAAACAAACCTTGTAAACCTTTCGGTTGAAAGATCAATCTGTCCATTTCATGAGATCACTTGTCTTCATGAACTAGCCTTTCCCTGCATTTATAGCAAATCCTAATTTCTCTGTTAAGCACATTCTTGGCGAGACGTTCCAAGGAAGTAATGTAAAATATGCAAATTAATGTGATCATCCACTCTAAATTCTTTCATAATTCTGCACGCATCTCCTGAAATTAGCATCCCTCTCTTCAGGTCTTGCCTTGAGATGTTGATATGAATTAATGTGAAGACAAAAAAAAAAAAAAAAAAAAAGTTAAACAACATTACAATACATGACAAGAAGCTAATGTGCTTGCGTCCTTGCGTCAATTAATCTCCCTAGTTAGCTAGAGCCATATCTCATAAACAAAACCGCAGTTCCTTCCAGTCAAATTTCTTAAAACTTGAATGCCAAGAAATGCGCGCGTGTGTGTATATATAGTTGCTACAAGCTCACTATAAATTCAGTATGGTACTTGTTCTCTAAAACACTAAAACCCCTTGTGAAATTTCTCTCTCTTCCCCTCCTAGTCACCTGAAAGTTCTTCACCTTGATGGAGCCAAATGAATCAAAGGGACTCCACTACTTAACTAGTCATTCTATCCCAACTCAATCCCATCCAAATCCAGTTCACAATCTGGATTCCATATCACTTTGCCCCACTAGGTTCTTCCCCCTCTCTCACATCCATGATTTCTCACCAAACACCTCTTCTCTCAGCAATGAAACTGCCTTTGATGAAGCAGGGGAGCAAAGCATTAACTATGAAAGGAGGCTCAAGAGGATGATATCCAACAGAGAGTCTGCAAGAAGGTCACGGATGCGCAAGAAGAAGCAGATTGAAGAGCTGCAGTATCAGGTGGATCAGCTCCATGCTACGAATCGCCAGCTCTCGGAGAAGCTCATCCAACTGTTAGAGGGCAACCAGCAGATCCTCCAGGAGAATGCTCAATTGAAAGAGAGACTTTCTTCCCTCCAAATCCTCCTTGCCGATCTCATAACACCTCTGAGGAATGTGGGAGATGTCACCACCACCAACACCAATGGCAATCGACTTAGAGCCGAAGATTCCAGTACCCCATGATTACATCTCTGCTATGAAACATGGAGGAACTTCATTCGGTACAGGGTTTCACTAGTATTGATGCATAAAATTTTCCCTTTTCTTTATATTAGGTAAATACAGTCAAAGATATATGAGTTTAACTGGTGCAATACAAATCTCTCAGTTGAGTTGTGGTAAGGCCGTATGCATGTAATATTGTGCTTTTTAGTTGTTCTGCGAAGCCATTTTATGCTTCAGCGATGGTGAATGTCATTATGTTATTTGCCAACGATTTGCATCTCAACTATACGTTGCTCAATAAAATTAATACGGCAGGCATCTGATGCAAAGACATCAATTGGCATAAGAAACTCCTAATAGCTGAATTAGAGATTTCCAAAATCTTGGGTTCATGTAATTCAGTAATAAGTTAGCACCCATCATCATTCAACACGTTTATTTGTGTACAAAATATGACATATGTAGGTCCTAGAAAATCGACAAAAACTATCATCAACTGTTCTTCTTTGCTAGGTGCTTCCCATTTGAGATGTTAGATGGGGACTCGGCTATAGTAGAAGTTGAACAGCTGTTGCTCTGTTCTTCAAAACCCTGCACTGGGTCTGCATATGATCGGGTACAAGGCCACCTAGACAATGAGGAACTCAACATGATTAGATTCTGAAAAATAAAAATCTACGATATTTCAGGCAAAAAAACACATGCTTCAATAATTGTACCTGCTTGACTTAATAATCTCATCCTGGATTGTCATATCTTCATCAAAGATGTTGCCTGCAAGAATGAAGTAATTTTAATTTTGAATAACTCTTTGACTTGCCTTCATCATCATTACAATTCAATAATAAAAAGCTGTGGTTTAAAATGTATTCCGCATCATAGATTTAAAAAAAAAAAAAAAATGCTGCACACCTCCATACAGATTCTTCTTTGAGAAGTATTTTGCAGTCAACCAACGACTGTAGTCAGCTTCATATTTCTTGAACTTTTCAATGTTGGCACTGTGAAGATCACTAACACAAACAAAGGACATAGTTTATCGCCCATCCTCTGGTTCAAATTTGTAATATAACATACAAGAGAAGTTAAGATGCATTATAAGCATGAAGGATAAAATCCTGGAGCAGCAGAAAAACTTTCCACTAAGCTTGCAGCAAGAGAAAAACAGAATCCGAAGAAGGCACCAATAGGAGCAAACCAGTACTAATGATAACTGAATGTCTAGGGCAAGAGTGATCCAAAAGAAATTCTGTAATCTGACGATACATATTCTGTCAAAAATCTTATTACAAAGACTCACAATAAGATATTGTTAAAACAGCCCTCCCAGCTAGCCACTGGTTACAAAATAACCCGTTAATCCTAGCCCTTAAGATTACTTAATACTCACATGTCACATGATTTTAAATGACTAAGATCATAACTAGTAGATCAACAAGGCATCAGTAAGCCTTTTGGGCTTCCTGCATTGCAGACAGACCTAATTTGCGTAATGAAAACTCGTCACCAACCCTGACCGATTTCATGCATTCACAACAACAAAAGCACCATGTAATGGGAATCTGAGCTATTAGATGTAATTCACATAAACTCTGCGTTCTCTTAAGAAAAAGGAAGAGAGGTAAATGATGTCATCTACATCAGCTAACTACACAGAGAGGTCTCTGGCATAGACCCAGACAAAGTTTGCAACAAAAGCATCACTGATTCTAGAAGGAAGGGCATAGGTCAAAGACTTTCCAAATAAGCTTCTAATAAAGAGAAACTTTTTACCTTTGATAGTTTTAAGATGTTATGAATTATATACAATCCTCTACTTATTACCATTGGGGGAGTAAGACAAGGTGTCTGACCTCTCCAACTGCAGCAAAACAAAACTGCATAAGCTGAGAGACCAAGGCTGCTGACAATATCAGTCAGTCGGAATGAAACCAGTTGCTTTGAGTAGGGTGAACCCAGTCAGCATGTGTCTGCTTTGGAGGTCAGAGGATACTATTACTGGGGTATGATTATGTAAACCAAGGAACCTCCTCAGTCTTATTTAAGAGGAGTATCATATCATAGTACTTTCTTTCCATGAAGTGGTTAATTATGTTGACTAAGACTTCAGATGGCTAAACATCCACCACCATGGACTGCTACATTACTGAAGTTGCAATTAGGCTGACTTACATTCATCTAGAAAACTTTGTTCTGGTATACATGGTAGATAAAGATTACCATTTCTGTTTGTGTGAGTGCAGATACAAAGGAGAGAGGAAGGCTTAGAAGTGTAAGTGTAAGGCCCGGAAATTCAAATGCCAAATATGGAAAGCAGTAACTCATGAAAATCAAATAAACATATTCAGGAAAGCTCTAAAACATGTGAGCATACTGAAGGGCAGAAGATGGGACATTTTGAGAAGAGTTTCACAACTGAATTTTAAAAAAATATGAAACAACTTGAATTATTCTGTCCATGTACAAGTAACTAAATTCAATCAGAGAATGTATGTCAAAATGATGCAAACACGGTTTTCTGAAGAAGTATCCACATAAGATAGTTCCATCTCTCATAAATATTTAGGTCACAATTATCCGTAACTAAAACATGGTTTATATTCTCTCTGCAGAGTTTACGCTGGTCCTTTACAATCTATTCAATTTTTGGGAAGTTTATTCTAGCTCAATTTCAAAATTCAGGACTCTGCAAAAATTGGAAAAGGAGTGAAATTTAATGAACCCAACTGCTTTAATTAATTCCCTCTTTATTTGTTTTACCTGGAAAACCAACTCATAGACACTTAGCCAAAAAAGTATGTGAAGAAGCAAAAGTTAGTATGTCAAGAAATGCTTTCCTTTCGATTTTATTGCTACGTGACTATCAAAAACCAAACTTACGAGTAGGCCAAAGCAATAAAATACACACATCTGTAAGCAAAATCTCATCTTGCTCACTAAAGTTTTAGTTATTGGGAAAATTATATTCCAAATACTATAGAGAGAAGAAAGAACAAGGGAAAATACTCATAATATGCGAATTAATGGCATGGTAATTGCAAATACATTTCTCAAAACAATGAACATAACAGGAAGGGGAATTACTCGCAAAAAGAAAAGAAAGGAAAGAAGACTCACTCAAAATATGCAGAAATATCAGGCTTTTTCTCGTCGACATTGAGAACCCCATTGTTGACCCCAGCATCAACCTTGCACATATTTTTTTAAAAAAAAATTGATGAAATGAAAGAACCCATAAGAAATCAATATTACACCGACCATGCAACATGCGCATACATATATAAATATATATATGTGTGTGTGTACACATCTATATATGTAGAGAGAGAGAGAGAGTGATAGAACCTGTGGATTTGGAGGAGAGTGAGGGATGGGTTCAGTGGCGGAGTTGTCGGAGCTGGAAGCAAAAGACGGTGAGGCTGGAGGAGACGACGGAGACGGCACACTCGCCATTCCACAATTTTGCTGCAAACAACTAACAACCTGTAAACCACTCTCCAGACTCCAAAGCAAGTGAAAAATCGAGGCTTCAAAAGTCTGCTGCTTGCTTCCATCTGTGCAGTCTTTTTTTAGTTTTTATTTCAGCGAGGGATGGTTATTGTGGACCCGAGGTCAGGTGGGGTCCACCGACAACAAATAATCTAATCCTATACATGTGGAAATTTAGAATTGTATCTTTCTTTCAAGAAATTTGTACGATTTCGTTAGTGGTGTGGTGTAGCCAAATGTTAAAAAAAATCTTTCGAAATTTGTACGATTCATTAGGTCTTGTCCTCTCCAAAATGTGCTTTGAAGAGGAAGTCAAAATTGATAATTTTTGTAACAATGGGAGTTAGAGATTGAAATGCAAAATTATAGATCTAATGAATAATATTTCAAGCAATTATTGTCGAAAGGAGTTTTGACCCCTCAACTTTGACTTCCACTAATGAATAATGTGATTATTATTACAAATAAAAATCATTTTGGTTATCTCTTACATTACGTGATGTACAAACGAATGAAAGTATCTGTCTGCAGCTCTGAAAACTTGCTTGGTTTTTTTTTATTTATTTACCAATAATCTCCACAAGAACAAAGGCCATGCTTGAAATGATGGAAGCGCTTATTGTCTCTCACAACTATCTCTCTTTCAACAACCTTGGATATCAACTTAGCAGCATTGTGACAATCTACACAAATGCGCAGGTTTTTGCAAATTCTCAATGTTGCACCTTTACTCATCTTCAACAATCCAAATGAAATGGCAAGCTTCTCACTGTGCCCCCTCAATATTTCAATCTTCTCCTCCTCTTCTTCCAGTTCATGAAGCACAGAGCCTGTGTTGGGTCTATATCCAAATTTACTTATCTTTTCCTCTAATCTGCTCCACATCTTCTTAATCTCTCCCGACTCTGGCAGGGAAGTGTCACCAGCAACAAAGCTATAAATTTGCCCTCCAACTTCAATCCAACTGTGCCCGGCGTCTTTCTGAAGGCCCATCTCCTTCATCCTTCGCCGCACCCGTCTCACATCATCCCATTTCCCTGATGCAGCATATAAGTTTGACAGTAGCACATAACTCTCTGCCTTTTCAGGCTCTAATTCTATTAACTTTTCGGAAATTTTCTGCCCCATATCCAAGTTATTGTGAAGCCTACAGGAACTAAGCAATGCGCTCCACATTCTGGTATCCGGCTCCTCAGGCATCTCATGTATGAAGTTTAAAGCTGCCTCCAATTGGCCAGCCCGACCAAGCATGTCCACCACACATGCGTAATGCTCTAATTTTGGATCAATTCCATACAAGCTCTGCATCTGGTTGAAATATTTTAGCCCTTCCTTAACCAACCCAGCATGGCTACACGCAGTTAGAACTCCAATAAACGTAAAGCCATCAGGCTTCTGCCCCAAACTTACCATTTTTCCAAATAGCTCTAAAGCCTTGCTTCCATGTCCATGAACTCCATATCCTGCAATTATAACATTCCATGATGGCACATCTTTCTTAACTAACCAATCAAAGACCCTATGAGATTCTTCTATGCAGCCACTTTTTGCATACATATCTATGAGAGAACAACCAACAAACAGGTCTTCTGTGAGGCGAGCTTTCAAAGCAAAACAATGTAATTCTTTTCCCAATCGCAAAGAAGCAAGTTGAGAGCATGCCTCAAACACGCTCATTGTGGCAATTTCACAAGGTAGGGTTTCACCAGACAGCATTTGGCGAAAGAGATCTAGGGCTTCATCAGGAAGTCCACTCTGAGTGTAACCAGTGATCATTGCATTCCAAGACACTCTACTTTTAGCTTCCATCCTATCAAATAATACTCTTGCAGATGATAATTTACCACACTGGATGTAAAACGATAGTAATGAAATACCAATGAATGAGTCCATTTCTAACCCATCACGTAGCACAAATCCATGAATCTGTCTGCCATGTTGAAGAAGTTTCAGGTGGGCACAAGCTAAAAGGAGGCTCCCAATGCTAAACCAGTCAGGATCCAAGCCTGAATATTTCATTTGAAGGTACAAATCTAAAGCCTTTTTTGGATCTCCGTTTTGGGCATAACCACCAATAATTGCATTCCAGGAGCTCACTGTCTTCGTCTCTATGCCATGAAAGACCTGCTCAGCCAAAGTAAGTGACCCGCATTTTGCGTAGGCTGCAACAAATGCATTGGCGACCAGTTCATCATATAGAAACCCACGTCTGAATGAGTAACCATGAAGTTCTTTCAAGCTCAAAAGTTCTGACTCCTCTAAACAAGCTGATAACACATTCAGTACGGTAACCTCATTGACCTTCACTTTCTCCTCTTCCATCTGCATTTTTCGGAAAAGATCTAATGTGCCACAAACATCTCCTTCTCTAGAGTAGCCTCCTATGATGGAATTCCAAGAAACCACATTTTTCTTATCATTCTTATCAAACAAGACTCGAGCTTCAGCCAAGTACCCACATTTGGAGTACATGTCCATCAAGGCATTATTCACCATCAATTCCTGGTTCAGCCCCAATTTCACGGCCACACCATGAATCACCACCCCCATATTTACTTCTCCTTTCCCAGCACACAACGGCAATATAGTCACCAATGTTGCAACATCCGGTACCAAACTTTCCTCACCCTCCAAAATCTTCCTCAACAAACTGTAACACTCTTGAGAAAACCCATTCTCCGAGTACCCATATATCATTGAATTCCAGGAAACCAAGTTCCTTTCAGGCATTAAATCAAACACCCTAACCGCGTCTTCAATTGACCCGCATTTGCCATACATTGCAATCAATGCATTACCCACAAAGACATCAGACATCAATCCCATCTTCACAGCCATCCCATGGATTACCTGCCCCAAACCCACGTCCAAAAGCCCTCCACATGCCTTAATAAGACAAGGGAACGTAAAATTATCGGGTTTAAATACCGTGACGCTAATCAACTCAATAAACACATCAATTGCATTGCGATAAAGCTCGTTTCTTGCATAACCACTAACAAGTGCATTCCACTGAAACAAGTTCTTCCTCTGCAACCCATCAAAAACCAAGCGAGAATCTGAAGGAGAACCGCACACGGAATACATAGTAATGATGCGGGTATTGAGAACAAAGTCATTGCTGAACTGGGTTGAAGCCGAGACCAAGTCGTGGACTCTGCGTCCGGTTTCGACGTCTTTGTGGCGGCCGCAGGCCTGCAACAGGGCACCCATTGCGTCTTTCTTTTGTTGTAAACTGGATATGGCATTGCGAGAGTCTGCTTGAAGAAGGGTCAGAGCCTCAGAGAGGTTTCCAGAGTCGCAGAGATTGTTGATCTCTTGGAGCAAATTGGGTTGGGAAAGTGAGTTGTGAGGTGAAGTGAGAGGTTCTCTTTGGTGGGTTTGAGTGGCACAGAAAGAAAGTGAGGCTTTTGGTTTTGGAGTGAAGATTGAGTGAAGGGAATGTTTGGTGTTCGGTGTGGGCAGGGGATGATGGCATGAGAGTGGTGGTGCCACAAAAGCCATCATTGAGATGAGATGCCTGTAGAGACTCAGGCTCTTTGGTGTATTTGAAGATTGGAACTGGTCTCTGGTGTTGGTCTGTTTTGGCAGTTACTGGACGATGACAAGACTATGAAGACTAATTTGTAGGATTACATTTGTACAAATGAAAGAAAGTATCTGTCTGCATCTCTGAAAACTTGTTGATTTTTTTATATTTATTTACCAATAATCTCCACAAGAACAAAGGCCATGTTTGAAATGATGGACAAGCTTATTGTCTCTCACAACTCTCCCTCTTTCAACAACCTTGGATATCAACTTAGCAGCATTGTGACAATCTACTCTCAAAGTTGCACCTTTACTCATCTTCAACAATATAAATGAAATTGCAAGCTTCTCACTGTGCCCCCTCAATATTTCAATCTTCTCCTCCTCCTCTTCCAGTTCATGAAGCACAGAGCCTGTGTTGGGTCTATATCCAAATTTACTTTTCTTTTCCTCTAATCTGCTCCACATCTTCTTGCTAAGACTCACAATAAGATATTGTTAAAACAGCCCTAGCATCCCAGCTAGCCACTGGTTACAAAATAGCCTGTTAATCCTAGCCCTTGAGATTACTTAATACTCACATGTCACACGATTTTAAATAACTAAGATCATAACTAGTAGATCAACAAGCCTTTTGGGCGCTCCTGCATCACAGACAGACCTACAGACCTAATTTGCGTCATGAAAACTCGTCACCAACCATGACCAATTTCATGCATTTACAACAACAAAAGCACCATGTAATGGGAATGTGAGCTATTAGATGTAATTCACATATAGTCTGCGTTTTCTTAAGAAAAATGAAGATAGGTAAATGATGTCATCTACATCAGCTACCAGACAATTAAACCCTAATTAAAAGCATCCAAAACCCTTAAAACATCTATAGTCATCAAAACATCCATAGTCGTAAAAAACATCTATATCACTAATACATACTACATACCAATAGTCTTCATTACTTAAAAAACATTATAAAAAAACATAAAACACTACTTAGCATTTCTAATAAGCAAATAGTTTTAAGCTTCTTTTTTTTTCCACTCATAATTGGTGCTTCTCTCTCCCCTTCCACACTCCTTCCACAGCTCTCAATTACTACTTCCTTTTCCAATGTCTGCTGGCTCATATCCACCTTCTTTCGCCGCATATCCTGGCTCTGCCCTTTTACCCTTTTCTGGTTCTTTCTACAAAAGTCAAAAATAGAACTTTAGAACTCATTTACTAGATGGTCAAGTCCCTCTCAGAAACAGAGACCCCAAGATAGCACTAAGTGTATTTCAACAACAACAAAAACTCATTTACTAGATGGTTGTAACGCTCACCTCATACAAGTTCCTTACTTCCTTCATTTTGAGGCCCACACGGTCGGCCATTTTCTCAACTTTCTTCAGCTCTTCACCCTAGAGTAAATTAATCTCATAGACCACGTTGGTGCATGTTGGCCAATTGCCCTCATCCCTCAGCTTCACAACTGCTTCCATGTCCGACGACTCCCGGATGTAAACATCAGTTATCTCTTTGAGGTCTTCTTCAACCTTTTTCAAAGTATAGTTATAATGATTCTCTAACTTCTTATCAACGTAATTGCCAAGCTTACGAATCATGGACTCTCCACGTCTGACTATCCTTGTTGATCTCCACATATGTGGAGATGGAGAAACACAAACAAACAACAATGTGTTAGAAAAGAACAAAAATATAATTATAAAAATAATAGAAGAAATAATAAAGAAACCTTTGTTTGGTTAGAGGGAAGCAGAGCAAAGCTATTGGTTTGGTTTCTAGAAGCAGAGAATCATGAGTCTTTATACACAAATGGAGGCACCTTGTCACTCTCATTATGATAAATGAATTAGATAGCATTTTAGGTGTGCTTTGCAGGGAGGAGAGCAGAGAAATCAGACTTTCAATTATGAATTATGAATTGGGTTATGCACCTAACTTGTAGTCTATCTCAGTTTGCCAAAACTGAGTATGAGTTTGGGTTTATGAGTCTCTTTGCAGGGGGGTTGCAGAGGTTATTTGCAGTGAAGTCGACTTGCGGAGAAGAGAAGAAAAGGGAGTTGGGTGAAAAGCGAAAAAGTCGAAACAACCTCAAACCTCAGTTTCGTTTTGTGAGACAAGTTCAGTTTATACTAGGGGTAGTTTTGGTTTTTCGTGCGTCAGCTTTTAAAGTAATTTTAAATTTTAAGCCTATAAAGTCCAACAAATGCGGCCCAATGAAAAGGACTGGACCTCAAAGCATAAAACAACAACGAGATTTTCTTAACTCGTGTTCTTAGGAAAACCCAATTCAATATAAAATGCTTCCACAATTTGTATACTTTAGATTTGATCCTAAATTCCTAATTTGGTTGTCTCCAAGGCTTAATTTTGTGATTAATCACTAATTTTAGGACGTTAAATTTTGGAAATAATTCAAAGAGACATTGATATATATATAGTAGTAAGTAGCCCTTTGTATTATTATAACTACATTTTCAACAAACAAATAGCTGCATGATGTTTGGGAAGTTCTACTCATTTGTTTTATGGGTGAAAAAAGACAGAAAGGAAATTCATAACTTCTTTTCCTCCCTCATCAATCACTTATATGCATGACTTCACAACTAATAATTGCTGCGCAAAGTTGAACTTTTTATAAACATTCATTAAGTCAGGGACCTTTTTAATTTTATAAACGATCATTAAGTTGCTATTCTACGTACCTCTTCATCAAACAAATGTGGACATAGGATCAAAACTCCATACATCCTATCATGGCCATCACAAGCCGGCGGTCCGGTGTCCCTTGCCTTTGGCAAATATGGTGGATGACCTTATGTGGGCACTTCTGATGGTATAATTCTCAAATATGAAGGATAAGGATCTAATGCTAGTTTTGTAGATTTTGGACAAGACTATCAAATCTAGTTATAGTGGACTGATCAATTTCATCATCATTAGTTGTCTTTGTTTACTAGTTAGTGATAGTGATCAAGTTGTCTTAGTTTAAACTAGTCATTTCTTTCCAGTTCGCCCTTGTTTTACTGATCCTGATCCTTTTTTTTTTATTTTTTTATTTTTTTTTATTTTTTTTATTTTTTTTATTTTTTTAATAACTGGTAGACTATTTACCAATACCAAAAACAACAACTGATACCTTTTAACTATTTACCAATACTAGTACTCGAAAACAGGCTCGACTTGCTCAATAATATAAAAAAGCTCAAAAGTAGGCCCCAAACGGAAACAAGTCTAAAAGTCAGCCCAATAACATGAAACAAGCCCAGAAGTAAGCCCAATAATTCGAACACATGCCCCGAAGTTGGCCCACAAATGTCAAAACGGGGCCAGTTGTGGACCCAAAAACATGAAAATGGCTCTCTAAAATGAGCCCCAGTAGTCAGCCCAATAACATGAAAAATAGGCCCGACATTTGGTTTACCATTAAATTAATTCGATGCCGTACAACTATTGTGTATATGTCTACTTAGTAATATCCAGTTGTCATGGGTATTCGAACCTAAGACTAATGATCTCCAAGTCAAGGTTCTTTTCTATTTAATGGACTTTATATAGATAGATCGGGACAATAAAATGTCGGGATATATTGATAACATGTCAATATGTTTTGTTATATATGGACGTGAGATTGGCAATGCTATTGACACCATTTCGTGTCACATCCCATGCTTATTTCTCATGTGCTTGTCAATTTTGTTGATTTACTAATTGTGGACAGAAGAACATAAGTTTTTGAAGTTTTTGTTTAGAAAAACATAATCAAACCATAATCCTAATTATTAATATATTTTTTGGCAGGGGTAATACATTTTGTAATTGACAACAATTATTAACACACACATGGAAGAGTTGCTACGTACTACTGTGGTTCTAAATCTGTGCCCTTGATTTTGGTAGACTTGCAGGAACACTTAAATTATACACACCAATAAAATTCACATGTGCAGATCATACATAGAGTGCCCCAGCAACTTCTTCAACTTGAGTGATGGATGAATTGCCGTATTGATCCAAAAGAATAATCTCATTAAGCACAGAGCCATCTGAGTCGATGAGAAGTGCAATTGGCACAATGAGCTTGCCCCTATGATTTATCCGTCTAGTGATTCTATTTTCACGGTTCACCGCCACCCAAAGTCTCCTGATAATTTCTGATGCGTTAGCCTTTGGCCCGGTGAGCCAAAACTTTTGGATCCTTTTGCCTGCGTATTCAGAAACCGGGACAAACGAGCCATCCATACTAACTGCAGTCCCAAATGCCAAAGAAGGCCCTCTTAACAAGACTCTCAATTTTTTTGTCTTGGGATCGAACATCGTCAACCTTCCCGTTGCATCATGCCGAGCATTTGCCTCATGGATTTCTCCACAATGCAAGATGCATACAACACTTAGTTTGATATAACAAGGCCGTACAAATTTATTTTTAGGTCTTGTTATAGGAATTCTTTCCTATTGTGACTCTTAGCGCTTTGTACATCCTTATACATATTTTAGAATATTGATGTGTACCTTTGCTCATAGACGGAACTGGCATCTGTGAAATAAGCTATGCCGGTTATGGGGTCGAAATCCAAACCGTTGAGGAATTGGAATGGCATTCCCTCTGCACTGGAGTCTGTTGGCAAGTTTGGTTGCCAAGCTTCTAAGCCATCTTTTGTCTCTGTTAAAACTTGTGTCTTGTTTTTGTTTGATTCCAATAAACAACTTAACTATCTAACGCCTTTCACCTTAATATTACACAAATAGGGGGCGAAAAAGATCGGGGTTCTTCCTATTAATTTATCAAGGGTAAAAGGAGGCTGAAAAGCGAAAAAGTCGAAACAACCTCAGCCTGCAGTTTAGAGTTCAGTTTATAATAGGGGTAGTTTTGGTTTATCGTGTGTTAGCTTTCAAAGTTGTTTTACATTTGGGCCTGTAAAGTCCAACAATTAGTCAGCCATGACTGCAAGTAAGTACCGGGCGAAGCAACCAAATTTACCTGCAATTTTAAGGCAAAAATAAGGAAACGAGCACCAGTAAAGCTGATAATAACTAACTCTTTTTCTTGTGTGCGCGTGCGTGGAAGAAAGGGAGAGAGCAAAAATCTTGAATTAGTTGGAGTAATGGGAGGAAAACGGAATAACCTTGGATACGAATCTTACATTTGTTGTTAGAAGAGGCACTACAACAAACTCTCAACGTTAAGTTCTACGAAGGAGCACGGATCAGGAACGTCGAAGTTGTTTAACACCTGAAAATTATATATCTTTCTGCGGTCCAGTTTTCCTAAGCCTAGAAGAGCCTTTGATGGAGAGGAACTTTCTATGGAGCTTAACAATAGTTTTCACCTGATTTTTATACTTGTGGATGAGGAAGGATTTCAAGATTGGGATTTCGAGAAATTAGATTGCATGAAAAACAGTCAACTACATTTTTTCCCTCGTGAATGGTAATGCTGGAATGCAAAATTTATAGGGCAGCATTTAATCTGTAGCTATAATCTTAGCACAAAATCAAGTGATGATACACAAACCTCAGGGTGCACAATGCCAAAAGTTCCAATGTGCTTCCCTTTATAGATGATGCTTGCTTGCCTACCCGGAAGAAACTCGGGCTCCTTCAGTAAATGTAAACAGAGAGTGAATGATTCATACAAACCTCCAAAGAAAAATGCAAATGAAAGACTATACTCACATCCGAAGGTTGTATGAAGTACCCAGTATGGTCACCGATAGGAACAAAAGCAGCACCAATATCTTCCATAACTCTGTCCACCAAGCCATGAATCAACTGCATATCGGAAACCCAAGTAATAGGCAATTATTTATCTTTGTTTAACATAGAGCTATCCAACATCCCAGCTTAGTAAATTATGAAAAAATACATATCTTTATACCATTTAAGCAAAAAAATTCATCAAAATTGTCACTAGGTTCTGAAATAGGTGACCAAACAGTGTATACCAGGTTTTGTATCGTACCTCAAACCCAGAGCTAGCACCACAGAAAAGAGCTGCTAGTTGGCGTTGATTTCTCGCACCAACATCTTTCCAAAGAGACTCCAATTGTACCATTAACGTATGATAGGGAAACATCCATGTTGTAGATTGATAAATCAGGATAGACACATGACTTTCTATCTGAATATATGACTTCAAGAGGTTCAATCTCAAACTTTCTTTCACAATATGCTGAAAATGCTGTCACCTAAAAGAATATAAGTTGATTCCATCATCCACTGATAAGTGAGAACCAAAAACTAGCAAATAAATGCATCATAAACTTCCAGCTTCTTACTATTGTGTTCAGAACAATCTTGGCCTTTGTCAAAACATTCTTTGTCTTCAAATTGATTGCTGAATGTGCACCATTAATAATGGGGGGTAAAGACAAAACAATTCTGCCAAAATAAACTTAATGTCACTCATAGAGACAAAGCCATAATTTAGTAATAAATGAATGAAAAAACAAATTTATCATACCTGTTGTGATCATATAAAACAGGAAACACCGGCGAGTTCTCTATTATGTGCAAAAACTTCTTCAGTTTCAAATCTGACTGCCAAAATACAGTGGTAAAATATGGATCAAGATACTTTACTTTCCTAATGTCATTCAAGAGTCATAATTACTAGGTCATACAAAACTAAGGAGATTCTGAACGAGGATGTGCATGAAATAGCTATTATTGCAATGGTTTCTAAATTGCTGATTCTGCTAGTTTGGTCTAGACTAACTATAACACTTCCCCCAGAAAGGGGAAAAAGAAAGAAAAAACAAGGAAAGAAGAACAAAGATCATACTTCCAAGAGTAACAACGCATGTAATATATGAATCTAAACTCACTTTGCAGACAAACCTTAATTGCTTCAAGTTTCACATATTTCATGCTAAACTAGTCCACTGCTAAATTATATGCCAATGTAGGATATTCCATTAGAATTTAGAACCAAGACCAAGTAGAGTTACAAAATCAATATATTCTAGCAATTTAATGAAACCCCGCAAATATATCGCTCAATTCTCAATTACACCACCAAAACGGGCAAACTCAATTTGAGTTTCAACATAATTTGGTGTGATATGATACTAATCACAAATAACCACGACCACCTGAGTCGTGACAACCACGATCACTTGAAAATTTAAAACTTTAAAACGAGATCAAAAGAAGCATCTACGAAACCAAAAATCTGTATGATCAAATCATCAAGACCATTATTATATTCACAGTCGCAGCAGTTGGTATGTTACTCGTCAAAAGGGAATTCTTGCAAATATAAATTACGGATTTCAGGGAAAGGAACTGACCTCTTACGAATAAGGCCTGAACGGTGAGACCAAATAAAGAAAAATAAGCACTTGGAGGGGCATATATCTCAGAAGAAACAAGGAAAATCCCAGAAAACTAAAGAATTTGACTTGTTTGACTTGAACAACACCAACTACCCAACTTATCAACCATTACTGCTTAGGAAATTAATGTCCATTTATTATTTACTCTTCTTACTTAGGTGAACTATACAAAGAAAAAGCAAAGGAAAGATTTTTGTTGAAATTGGACATAACATACATAAATGAAGGAATCCAAGAATATATTTGCTCGTTGTAGGTGGAGCCCAAGTAGGAAACTCCTTGGTGCCCAAGCCAATGCCTAGCAGAGAGAGGGAATCTATAATTCATTGGAACAAACAAACTGAAAGAGGCCGTGGTCCTCCTCTCCCTCCATACAAATTATTGAAATTCATTGGAACTTAAAAAAAAAAACTCAAGACACTCTGTGTGTGCAGAGAGCAGAGAGCATAGAGCAGAGAGCATAAAGCATAGAGCATAGAGAGAAGCTTAGCTTAGCTTTGATATGAAGAAACTAGTGCCAGTGTATTACACCAACACTGTCCTCCTAAAAGCATGCCGAAGTAATCATGTCGTCGGAAAAACAGATATTCCTCCTCCTCCTCCTCAAATCCAACTTCCAACTCCAACAACTCTTGTTGGTCCTTTATTGCTGAGCAGATTAACGGCTAATAACTATAATGATGGTTCCAACAAGAACCCTATCCCTAACCCCTGCCTCCGTCTGTTTTTCGACATCAAACCACCTGCATACTGGAGGGGCCCCCCCAATTTTCCGATGACTATCTCCAGCAACTGCTGCCGCAGGCCTGGTCTCACAACCCCCTCACCACACTCAAGCTCATCTTCAATCTACATCACCGACGTGGTAAATTTGACAAGCAAGCCTTCTACACGGCGGCATACTGGCTTTACCAATACCACCCCAAGACCCTTGCCTGCAACGTCGCTGCTATTGCTGCCTCCTTTGGCATTTTAGCCGACCTTCTCCAGATTATGTACCTTATTTTACAAGGCAAAGACCAATTGCCCAGTCCTCATTACTACCCACCGATCACACAAGGCATCGGGGGCCGTACTTGGACGAGGAGGAGGAGAGCTTGGTTATGGCAAAAAAGGCTGTTGAGAGGTACTAGCTTGACCCCAATTATCGCCTCTTACATGACGCCGTCTCTGATATTTACGCTCTGTGCCTCAAGTCTGACATTCAGAGCTTGAAAAATCATAGGATTACTAGTGAGGATGAGCCTGAGTGCTTGGAGATAACCAAGGCGGCGGATTTTTCCCCTCACATCGACTCTTCTTACGATCGAGCCACTCTGCTCTGCGAGAGCATTGCTAAAAAGGTTTTTCCACTAGGAGGAGGAGTAGAATCGGAGGAGGCCGACGATGATTATGCGTACAGAGTCAGGAAGCGGTTGTGGAAGGAGGTTTTGGTGCCATTGAACAAAGCCTTAGCCACCTCGGCTTATACCGGTTGAAACAAATGGGGTTATGATCCGGGTTTCAAGCCAGAGCCCTACGCGGTTGAGACTTATTTGGAGGAAGTCGTCAAAGCCGGCAAGTCCAAGATTAAGGCCGGTGCTCTGCTTCCAAATGAGAGCATAGGCTATCTTAAGAGAAGGATGGATAATGAAGATGATGACGTGCATGATCTAATGGCTGCAGCTGATCTTCAGTGGAAGACCATGGTGGAGGACATCTACTTAAAGTAAGGCAAGTTTAAAAAGTGTTTGATTGTATGTGATGTCTGGTCCAACAACGAAGTGTCGATGGGTTTGGGGCTTCTGCTGTCTCAACTGAGTGAAGAACCATGGAATGGAAAGGTGATCACCTACAATAAGAACCCTCGGCTGGTTTCCATACAAGGCGATGATCTTAAGTCCAAGCACGAGTTTATGACAACAAAACTAGGCCCGTGGGATGTTGAGGTTAATTTTGAAAAGGTGTTTGATTTGATCCTGAAAGTGGCTGTGGATGAGAATTTGAAGCCGGAGCAGATGATCGAGAGGGTGTATGTGTTCACTCCCTCCAGGGGGGCCTATAATAGATGGGAGACTAGTGATTTTAAGGCAATGCAGAGAAAGTTTAAGGAGAAGGGATATGGGGATGTGGTGCCACATATTGTGTATTGGAATATCAGAGCACACATGTCTGTGCTGGGGATGCCTAATACACAACCAAGCTTAGGCTTCACCATGTTGAGTGGCTTTGTCAACAACAATTTGCTCAAGTTCTTCCTGGACAATGGTGGGAATTTTGGCCCCAAACATGCCATGGAAGCTGCCATTTCTGGCCAAGACTATCAGAATCTAGTTATAGTGGACTGATCAATTTCATCATCGTGTGATGAAATTGTTTACTTGTCTTAGTATGATTGATTGAGTAGTTACTTACTAGTTAGTGAAAGTTGATCAAGTTGTTTTAGTTTAAACTGATAATTTCTTTCTAGTTTGGCAAGGCCATGTTGCTGTAATATTAATTCCTTTAAGGTTCAGCAAACTATTTACCAATTATAAAACATCCAACTGACAACTTTAAGATCCAGCAAACTATTCTATGTCTCGTCATTTTATCATTCGCTGGCCATTGGCCATTCCTGTAAGAAGGGCTTCACACTCAATCCTAGTGGAACACAAACTCATGTGCAAAAGTAGAAATTATAATCAAACTCTGCTAGTAACTTATAAAGGTGTAAAACATATTAAACAAGAGTTGTAGCAATCCTACAAGTTGTATCATAATAATACAATATACGAACTTGCTGTAAAGCTTAGCTAACAAAACCAATCCATGTGTGTTTCACAAGACAATTCTCACCTTAGTCTTTCACATAAAAAATTGTAATTTGCTTATGACATTGTACATAATTAAACATAGGACTGTATGTATGTCTGCAGTGACATGCATAAGCAAATGTTGAGCATGATGCAACTGGAAAACTGTTGAAATTTGATCCACAAACAAAAGCAGTAACAGTGTTGAAATTATAGTCTTATGTTCAGTTGTGTATACTTTTCTTGGTATACAGGCAGTCCTTTTATATTTTACACCTGAACATAAGACTATAATACAATTACCCCATAACCAATCTAATATGGGCCTTCAACTTCAATATTGAACAGCATTTTGATGACAGTTACAAGGTAGGACGAACCCGAAACTCACTCACATTCTAGCGAAGCCAATCAACAACATTCTCTTTTCTTTAATGCAGAGTAAACTTGTATGTATAAATGCGTTATAACTTTTATGTATAATAATGATCAGTAAATACAATATACTACATTTTTCTTTTCTTTTCTTTTTTCTTTTGAATCTTCTATGGCTACAACACTCGAGTATGCATACAAACTTAGCCGTCCCATGAAAAAAAAAGGGATAGCTAACAACATGGTTAGAGGGAACTGAGGTAATCTTTCAGCAAAGAGAAGATGGGGTTAGCCTGAGAAGCTCCCTCCAGCCTTTGAAACATGATTCCCTCCATCCGGGTTTGAACTCCTCCATCACCAAATGTCAAGTCCTGCAGCAATTCCTTCATTGTTCTGTCTACTCCAACCAAACTGCTCCCTATGCCACTTAAAATTTCTGGCAGTGTAGGGGACGGTCTTGCAAGCTCCACGAGTGTAACCTTGCACCATTAGAGAACAACTTACAGAGACAGAGTAATGGGTATACACGAACATATTACATTTTGCAAAGACATAAATAATATGTATGAGAACGTCATAGCACACTCAAATAAAGTAGTTTTTAACAAATATGGAGTTAACTTGCACTGCATAAATTAGTAACACTAATTTATATTCATAACCCATGAAATAAGAAGAGATTTTCTTATAACCATACCTGTCTGTCTTGGGGTATATTTGCCTTGAGTTTTGCTATTGCGACGGCCCGAGAAAGTCCACCAATAGCATCAACTAAACCCCGTGAAGCTGCATCCTTACCAGCCCAAACTCTCCCTTGTGCAACCTCCTCCATTTTATCTACCTGGCACCGCAAATAAATAGGGCATCTTTAGATTTCAAGGTAACAGGAGTGAAAAGGAAGCGACTGAAACCAAAACGAAGGTTGAATTGACCAGCATACAGTCATTGATCTGGAAAAAGCTGCCTTGTCTCGAAATTGCTTATATGCATTCTGTGCAGATTTAGCAAAGAGTTCAGCTTCTTCTGGTCTGTATTAGGATCGAAAAGGAAAAGTTGAAACTTTTTCCATTTGTACGAATATAGGAGATTATTACATACACCTAAGAGTGCAACAAATTTGTTTACCTGAAAGATCGTTGTTCAGCTGCAAGAAGCTCCGCATATTTTCCCCTTGATATGATTTCCTTGTTGAAGCCAATCTTCTCATACAGTTTTCCCAAGTTAAACTTCCCTACAAACAAAGATTCATATACTAACTTACAACAGCTAACATAATCCAAATTTCTTTCTGCATACCAACAAAAGGATTATAAACATTTTAAACTGCAAATAGATAGATAAAAAAAGATCCCACAATTATAACAAATATTTGCTGGGCATTTAGATTTGTGGCAGTCTATGTGCTTTTAACCAACATGAATATACTTTATATAATTATGTACAACCAAATTCACCTGTCACAACCCCAATGGAACCAGTTAAGGTTAGATTTTCTGCAACAATGGTGTCTGCTGCCATTGCCATATAGTATCCTCCACTTGCTGCCACATCAGACATTGATGCAATGACAGGTTTTGATGCAGCCAAAAGTCTGATTTCCCTCCACATTCTGCACACCATAAACACATCAGGGTAACTAGTTAATTGTGTGCACACATAAACGTACAAGCACATATTTTCTTCTGTACAAGAGTACTTGCCAACATATCAACTTTTACGGGGGCAAATTCCAACATCTTAGAGTTTTATGCAGCTAAAACAACAATAACTTCAACACCTCATGTACCCAAACATGTCACATGGAAAGGCTTCAGTTTACTGATATCATATTAACAGGAGATCTATCTTCTACATCAAGCTCATTCATTATAAGCATACTAAATATTCAGATAAGCGGAAGAACGAATCCCTAACTCTGGCACCCAGATCTAAATCATGTGTACGAAAACTTCCCTACTCATTTAGATGCTCGGAACGTTACCCCACTTACTACAAATGCATATTCCTAGTTGTGATAATGGATTTGTTGCACACAAAACTCAGCTAATATATACTAGCACTTACAAATCAGAAGCAAGGGCATCACCTCCAGGGCTGTCAATTCGGATGATAGCGGCCTTATACTTTTTTGATTCTGGAATGGGTAAAAGAGTATCACATGACAGAGGTACAAAAATTAAAACAGAAAAACATATGCAAATAACCAGTTCTGAAAGTTTCACATAAGAAAATGAACTTATTTAAGACATACAATACCTCTCACACTACGAATCTTCTCAATGAACTGTTCCCCAATAATACCCGAACCAGGAAGACTAAAAGAGCCCCGTACACGACTAATGCTGCCTGAGGCTCTAATTATGGCTATCTTGTCTTTGCCGCCTGATAAGCCAACAGTCGATTGTCGAACCTTAGAGTATTTCCTGTCGTAATAATGAAAAAGAGGGAGGATGGGATAGTTATACACGCATACAGAGAAAATTGGACATCACATCGTAATAAATGAATGCCACCTATAAGAAAGTTGACTACCTGTAATCAACCATAGGAAGAACTTTTTCTTTTTGTACTCCAAGTCTTTCCTTCAACAGTGAAATAACCTGCGAGGGATACATATTATTTAAAAAGTTACCAGCAAACTATCATAATGATGAATAATGTTTTACAGACACAAATCGCTCCCCATATTCATATCAAAATGGGGTCAACAAAATAATTAGGATTAACACATCACAAGATATTACACTGTGAGAGCAATACGGTATGTATCTTTTCATATCATAAATAAATAAGACTAGGTAGTTACCATGCCCTAGAACTTCAAAATACTAAGACAAACTTGAACATGGATGGAAATTGAAATTTAGAAAAAGAAAACTCTCTCAACTTTCTTTAAATATAAGTTTAAAATCTGGATCCGAAACACATTGAAACAGCGTTCTTACTCTCCAAGCATCTAAATTCTCTTTCTTAACATGCATCAAACACTAACCCAAAGCAAATAGGAACCACAATTCCATACCTCATCATCATAGTGTATGTTTGTGATCCAGCCCTCTTCTTTAAATTTTTCTACTTGGTACACTCCTTCACTAATAAAATTCTCGATGTCTTCTCTTTTCTTTCCTGTAGAAAATTTTCAGAAGTTCATAAGTTCTTTAAAGACTTGAAGAAAGGTCAAATCTCAAATCTCAAAGCACCTCTTGTAGAAGAAATTACATCCAGCCAATTCCCGTATATATTATCAAGCAGTGCAGTCAGCATCTCACAATTTTCTTCAGACATGGTTTTGCGTGCAAGTTGATCGCCGGCACTTTTGTATTTACCAATCCTTTCCACTTGTGGCTCAATTCCAACGTTTTCAAGAACACCTGAAAGAAAATACGAATGCCACGCAACATTAGCTAATGAATGACTTGCGCCATAAGTACAGCACAGGTAAGGCTAAACAGGAAAAGGTAACAAGTATCTCTAACTTACAAGCATCTATGAAACCAAAAATCTGTATGATCAAATCATCAAGACCATTATTATATTCACAGTTGCAGCAGTGTTGGTATGTTACTCGTCAAAAGAGAATTCTTGCAAATATAAATTACGGATTTCAGGGAAAGGAACTGACCTCTTACGAATGAGGCCTGAACGGTGAGACCAAATAAAGAAAAATAAGCACTTGGAGGGGCATATATCTCTTGGCATGCAGAAGCAAGGTAATACTCTTTCTCTCCACAAGCAGGTACATAGGCCAAAATGAATTTTCCTGCAAGAGTGAAGAAATCAGGTACAGATATAAGACATAACATAATCAAAATTTTGAAAATATTTACCTGATTTCTTGAAATCCAATATATGCCTTCGAATTTCTTCGACTTTCCCCCAACCACAATTCAAGCTCTCAATTTGGAGATAGACACCAGAAATTCGAGGATCATACGCTGCTTTCACCAAGTTCTCACAAATTTGAGGTAGCGATAGTCCACTGGAGAATCGACTCTTTAGCTGATCAGATACCTGAACCAATAATAAAATAAATAAACCAAAAAAGAAAAAGCTCCAATCCCAAATTGCCAAACACACTCACAAAGTAGAAATGTGAAAAAGAAAACCTGGCCTCGCAATTTGATGGTCAAGACACTGCCTTTTTTGACGCGCTCCCAAGGGAGGGCAATGAGCATACGAAGCTTGACGACGAAGCTCTTCCAAGAGCTCATCTTTTGAAACTGAAACTCGCCAGTGGGATAGTCCTTGTCTGCTGTGCCTGTATTGATACTCTCACTGTTAACCTTACCCTGAGGCCCAGACTTGCCATCGATTTGCTTCAATTCTTCTTCTTTGGTCTCGGACGATGAAGAAGACGACGAGTCGAAGGCGCGAGCCGAGAGGCTTCGCAGAGAAAGAGGAGGAGAGAATGAAGAGCGGAGGCATTGGGGGCGGAGACCTGAGAGAGAGAAGGGAGTGAGGAGAGGCTTGGAAACAGGAGTCAAAACGGCGGCATTTAGGACACGGCGGTGGATTGGGGTGAGATGGTGAGAAGTGTGAAGCAGAATGAGCTTCGACATTCCTCGCTCTGTTCGTAAAGCCTCTCTCTTCCAGGGAACACAACAGACAAAGGAACGTTGTAAATTGTAAGTACAAGGCAAGGAGAAGAGGAAGAGGTGGATGACAAAGGTCATATTTTATCCACGTCACCACTTTTGCCCTGTCGACGACGTGTCATATCCATGCGCGCTTTTATTTATATCTTTTCTCTTTCTGTTATTTTTATACATCCGTTGATTGAGAAAATTGTAAGAACTACCACGTATCAAAAAATATTTGATTATTTTTTAAAGAATTTTGTAGCTTTTGAAAAAACTAATAAAGAGAGCGGTTGCTTGATATTTCAGAGTTGCTAAGTTTAATCTAGTTGTCTTTGAAATCAGTGGCAGCAGCTCTACCTCGCTACTGTTTCATCAAATGTATTTTTCTTTGTTATACATCCTACGAAAATAAATAAAACCATGAACTTTAGGCCCAAAAAAATATTGAAATTTAGGCAAGAAGGGTGTGAAGGCCCAGAGTCCTATGATTTTGGGCCTGGTGATGGAACACTCTTTGTTCACTATTTTAGATTCTGTTAAAAGAAGCAGCAAATCATTTGTGCAAACAAAGATTCTTTCCTTTTTTTATTTTTTTATTTTATTTTTAATGATGAAAAGTTTAGGGGGAGGGGAGGCTACCATATCCAGAGTCAGGGCATACCAAGATCTTTTGAGGACTTACAAAGGGGTCTTAACCCCATTTTTAATTTTTACATATTACCCACCAAGAGAGATTGTCGATAGCGAAACTCGAACTTAAGTATTGATAGCGAAAATTGCAATCTTTACCAACTCAACTAGGCTCAACCAACCTAGTTGGCCTTTTCCAATTTTTTCACATCCAATTGAATGAACATATGGATTCAAACTATTTTTTTTTTTTTATAATAAAATAATATTTGTTACCAGGCAGGACGAACTCGAAAACTCTAGCACATTCTAGCTAGTTACTCAACAATTATATTAATTTCTTGAATATATTACATATATATATATATATATTATCCTTACATTAAAAGAGACACAATTCAGCTAAACCCGTTGCTACCTACCTCTACCTACAAAATAATAATACTTAGCAGATGAAGAACATCAAAACATCTATATAATTTAATCTGCTGTTTCCAAAGCCATTCTTCTGATCAACCTGCCTGAAGCTAGTCAAGTAAGCCTTAGCATTTCTTGGCATGAGTCAATAAAGCCTTGTCTTTCTTCTCTTCCTTTCGCCTTCCAGCTCTAGGTTGCTGCTTCTCCTTTGGTTTCTTCTTGGCCGTTTTGTCAACAGCCAAGCCATGACCTCTGGATCTCTCTCCTCCATGGTGGTGATGGCTTGGGCCAGAGGAAGCATCAGAAACCATAGAATCATCACTGTGGTCATCCTTATGACCATCATTTTCTCCATCATCTTCACTGTTTTCATGGGTCATGCCAGTGCCATCTTCATTTTCCCCATCTATGCAGGAGCCAATGTACATTGTCCACCCTGATTCACTGCTGTGACATTCTTCTGCACCTCCAAAGACTTTGGAAGACTCCATATGATATTACTAGACTGAAAGAACAAGGGAAGCTGGTGAGAATATTAATAAAGAAGCAGGGGATATTAACACAAGTATAGGATAATTCTTAAATAGGAAAAGAGAGAAGCTAAATCACCGCTCAAACAAACAAGAAAACAAATGTAGCTATCTCTCACATTACATTTGAAAGCTACACCACAAAACAAAACCCACAAATCTGTGTCTTTAATAGGCTAAGTAAGAAGGAAGCTGCAATAACTCTCAGTACCACACCCCCTGGAAATCTAAATATACCCATTAATTCTCTGACCTTTTCTGCTGAGCAGAGAGACCGCTAGAAGCTGTCAATGAAGGTGAAACCCATCAAGCAAAACAAAAAGCCTCCTCCATACATACCAAAGGTTTCTTGAATTTGAAAGGACATGGTTGGTTGGTTGGTTGTTCGTTCACTGGGTCATTGGGTTTCATAAGATCAATCAATCATCTTTATTTCTCTCTGCATATGTCATTATTAAGAGAAAGGAAGGTATGGATGCCTTAAATGCAAAAGACAGACCGGGACTTCAAGACTTGAGGACGAAAGAGAGTAGGCTACAAAAACAAAAACAAAAACAACTAGAGAGAAAGAGAAAGAGAACGAATGAATGAATGAATTATTATAAGACAAGTAAGACCACCCCTGTCTGTCTTTGAATAGGACACAATAGGACCTATTCACTACTTCATTTAGCTTTCACATATTTACCTGTAAAATGCAAACCACCCAACCCAACGGGAGTTTAGGGTTTTCTTTTTCTAGATAGTATATAAGAGCTGAGAATGAGAATGAGATAGATAGGAAGTTGTCAAATATAGGTGTCTGCCGCTGCTTTTGATGATGTGCATGTGTGTCTCCTCCTCAAATCAAGGTTATGTTATGTCTGTCGTGTTATTGGGGAAGGAAGAACACGGGTCCTATTACAAACTCAATTATTTGTTTCTATATCCCTTCCTTTCCCTTCCCTTCCCTACAACAGGAAGGATAAGGAAGGACACTGCCCTCTCTGCCTTCCCTTATCACAAACAATATGCAATCCAGCTTGCTTTGCTTTGCTACCTAGACCTAGACCTAGTCATATAATAATATTAATATTTATGCACGTTGATGTTGATGTTGCTTGGTTGCCGTAAAGATTGAATTTCGTATCAGCTGGATCAGAAAAAAAAGCTTTAGTGAAAAACCATCTATCTAATATCTATCCATCTACATGTCTCATTTATTGCTCTGCTGCTTCCTTCTTCCTGCCTTTTCAAGGTGAAGTTTGGATTGGAGGGTTGAAAATTATAGTGATCAATCAGACATATATCCTCCCTCCATACGTTACTTCTGTAAGAACTTTTTTGAAATGACATTTGTTAGAATCAGCTTTTCAAAATCTAAACGTGCTTCTCTAGTCAACCAGACATTTTACCCTGTACATCGATTATCATTTCAAATTATGATTTTTTAGGGCTTAACTTAAGATCTGAATTTGTAATTTACTCACTTTATGGCTAAAATAAAAGAAGAGAGAATTTGACAACTCGTGTGGTGGACCATCCATGATTGGTAAGGCCAAGAACAAAACGAACTTGAGAGTTAAAATCCAGGTGGTTTGGGCACACCTTGCTCCCAACGCTTTTGAGCATGATTTTTGGTTGTTTCCCGGTGGCCGATAGAGAAAGAGACAAGGGTGAGCCCCATGTGTTATTCTTGCTGCTTGTTCTTTTTGACGTGATCGCATCCCGATTTGCTTCTCTCCTTGTCTTCCACGTGACTACTGTTGAGGTTGTGGTTTCTGCAATGGGACAATTTCGTCAAACATGGACCAGATCATCTGACTGATTCTCTTGTTTACTTACTTTTTTCTTTCACATTTGTATTTTCTAGGCTTAACTCTTGATTTGCCGTACATAACTTTTGATTTGCCCTCTATTTTTTTTTAGAAAGTTAAAGATATTTTAGAGAGAGAGTGAGAGAGAGAGAGAGAGAGAGAGAGTATATATCAATTTTTTTAAAGTTTTTTTAATTTATTTTTCAGTATTGATGTATTTTTAACGTATGAAATGACAGTTTTGACCTCCTATTTAATAGCAAATTAGATGAAATGTTACGGATTTAGATGTCAGGGGGCAAATTGGTGAAAAAAAAGAGAGAGTTCATATCCTTAATTTTCTATAAATAAAAAAAGAAAGATAGAGGGTAAATCGAAAGCTATGTACAAATTTAGAGGACAAATCAAGAGTTAAGCTTATTTTCTATATATAAAATAAAGGCATTTCATGGCATGAAAAATATGTTGGTAATTCACATTGACACAACAGAAATGTGGTGAAGGAGATGTGGCATTGACTCATTGAGGTCAATTCATAAATAAAGGGGAAATCGAACTTAGGACCTCGGATGCATGCTTTTAATTATTTGAGCTACATACCCCTTGCATAATTTGTTTGATATTGTTGTAATGTGTTAATTGCTAAAATATGAAAACTATGAGAGAATATTTGTTTGTGGGAATTTTCTGTGTATTATTCTCCTTGTAGGAGGTCATATTTATAATACAACGAAACCTGAATGGACAAGTAAATAATAAATGCCTAAATCTATTTACAGTAGGAAATCAGGAATTAAAGTAAATCAATTACAATTATAATAGAAATTCTTGGTGTGTAAGGAAAGTAAGTCAATATTCACAAGTCACGCCAACATTCCCCCTCACGTTGGTGCATAGATGTCGCCAATGCCCAACTGATCCAGTGAATTGTGGAATGCTTTACTGGAAATCGTCTTTGTCAAAATATCCGCCAATTGATCCTCAGATTTCATAAAAGGAAACTGAAACACTTTAGCCTCAAGCTTCTGTTTGATGAAGTGTCGATCCACCTCAACATGTTTAGTACGATCATGCTGAACTGGATTTTGTGCAATGGCTATAGCAGCCTTGTTGTCACAAAAGAGATTCATTGTGGATGTAGGTTTATACCCAAGTTCAATAAGCAACTTTCTTAACCAAAGAAGTTCACAAATCCCTTTAGTCATACCTCTGAACTCGGCTTCTGCACTGGATAAAGCTACTACATTCTGTTTCTTGCTCCTCCATGTCACCAAATTACCTTCCACGAATGTGAAGTAACCCGATTTGGATTTTCTATCTGTTACATTACCTGCCCAATCTGCATCTGAATAACCATCAATGTTTAGATGACCATGTTTTGAGAATATAAGTCCTTTTCCAGGTGCAGACTTCAAATATCTAAGTATCCGAAGAACTTTATTCATGTGGTCTTCACTTGGAGAGTGCATAAATTGACTGACAACACTCACCGCATAAGCAATGTCTGGTCGAGTATGTGACAAATAGATCAATCTTCTCACTAACCTTTGGTATCTTTTTTTATTAGTTGGAACTTATTATTAGTTGGAACTTGATTCGGATATTCTCCAAGATGATGATTCTGAATAATAAGAGTGTCCGCAGGTTTGCAATCTAGCATTCATGTGTCTGTCAA